TGAGGAGATATTCTCAGAGAAAGCGGAAGCCCTGCCGGCAAGACAGCAGGACATTTAAAGCGACATTTTATTACCCCACAGTGTGCGTTAATAAACCGTCCGCCACAGCGACCAAAGGTCAAGCTTATCATCTCAGCTGTAAAGAGAACTCTTAGAAACGACAGGAGAGAGACCATGATTTCTCGTGGCGTCCTCCCCTACCTGGAGGTGACATGACCTCGGCTCTAATACATGGCACCACCGGAGCAAGCTCAAACGTGTTGCTTTCCAGCAGCAGGAGCAGGAAGAGCCTGGGAGGTAACTTCGTCAGCTGACGTGTCATCAGCTGAGAAGGCCAAGCTAAAAGGCCACCAAAAGGGCCCACGAGCATCTTTATCATGCCAGGAGACAAAAATGTACCTTTCTCGGGACCAGAAGATGGTGGAATGGTTACGTTGCTGGACTCCCATGTAGTCGACTGTGGTTCAAGTCCTGGCCCCGGTGGCTTAAAACTCACCCCAGACATGTGTTCATGTGTGTCCAAGATCCCAGGAGTAGATGGAAGAGAAAGGATTGTGGCGTGGCCATCCCCTCCCCGGGGTAGGAGTGAGGGTAGTGATTTCTCACTTTCTGTCTCTCCAGCAAGTACATGTGCCCTATAGCAAAAATCCCATAGTTTTTTTTTCTCTTTATGGGGAAAGATGTTGGGAGGGGATAGGGGGGTCTGGATCAGTTACCTTAAATTCTGTGTTTCTGCAGTTATTATTTTGTTTGTTTGTTTATAAGTTACTGTGGGCATGTTCACTCACCAGAGAGACAGAAGGAAAGCAAGAAAGTGTCCCCAGGGACATGGCCGTACCGCAATCCCTTCTCCTCCCTTCTCCTCTTAGGATTTTGGGCATGCATGCACATGCACCGGCATGTCTGAAGCTACCAGGTCTGAGACCTGAACAGCTCAGTTGACTTTGTAGGATCCAGCCACCCCAACCGTTATGCCACTGGCTGGCCCTGCAATGTGTGGAGTGGGATTTTTGCTATAGGGCATACACACACAAAGATAAACGGGGGTGGGGATGGGGAGCCAAGTGAGAAAGCTAACCACCAAGTCCAGGACTCAAACCATGGTTGGCCATGTAAGAGTTCAGCACCCTGGGACCAGCAGTTAGCGTAATGGCTACGTCGTTGGACTCCCACATAGTCGACTGCGGTTCGCGTCCTGCACCCAGCGGCTTAAAACTCATGCTGGGCGCGTGTGCGTGCGTGCCCAAGATCCCGAGAGGAGAACGGAGGAGAAGGGATTGCGGCGTGACCATCCCCCCTGGGGAGTGATTTCTCGCTTTCTGTCTCTCTGTCTCTCTCTGCCTGTCTGGCAAGCGCACGCGCC